CTTGTTATCTTTAATACCAGTAAAGCTTCTTTTGTGGTCATTTCTCTTAATTAATCACGAACCTGTCTGTCCGTTAAATTTTAGCTCAAACGTTCTCTATTCCACAGATTCCTACATCTAATTGTGACTATCCTTCTTCGCTTTTATGATCACCGTATATTTATCTATTCGCCTCTCACACTGCACATAATATCGATTTAGTTTTGAGCGACAGACGTTTTTTATCACCATTTATTTTCACTCTCTTTGCTAGGTTCAAGTTCACGCTACGCTTACGAACTACAGTCATGTGTAGAGTGCAACTTCGTTCACCTCTTGGTCTTTTCTTGATCGGGCTCAACGTAAGGCCATTTGTCTCAAAAAAACCGATCCCTAACGTGCTACTTGCAGTCAATAGATCATCGTCGAGCGAACGCTTCCTTATCCTTTTCTACTGATACGATTTTATATTTCGTATTACTGAACTTGCCTCTTCTATCCTACTCCCACTTGTTCTTCTTCATCGTAGGTCCTATACACAAGCAGCTAGTCATCCATTTTAAGTAACTATCCTGAGGTATCGCATTTCTAATGTTTAGTCATCTTTTTCCCAGAAACAAAACAACTATAGAATACTCTCCCCTTTTCGGTCTTCCCTCTAACTTTCAACATCCTTATCTTTCAACGCAGGGTCAACAAGCTGGTTCGAACTTGAATTTTCCTTTTATCATCTATGTTAAATGTATCTTAGAATTATGTATTCACTTTTGTGCAATCAAAAAAATTATATGTAGGTATTCTGGATTTGATTAACAACACCGCATAGCTGCTCCTGGGACGCGCAATCTTTGGGCTTTAGTTGGAGTCTGTGCGCTATCTGATTTAAGATCGTCTTCAGAAATTTTACGCTTTCATACCTTATTGTCTTTTCCGTGTTGTGAATCAAAATGCCACACATCGAAAGTTTGTAGTTCTAACCGCCTTTCGACACTTGTGACAATCAATCAACACGGAACATCGAAGTACAAGTCCGAAATCCGTGAGTGTAAATAACATAACATTGACTGATTGTCAATCATCAAGGTTCAACCCCCCCCCCCTCTCTCCTCAAAGTTCAGATATTTTGGACCGTTAGTTGAATTTCATCATTCGTCTCTCCCTCCCCCAAAGGTTTTTGTGGACTGGAAGAACAATCTTGAATATCAAGGTAACTGTTCAATCACGGCTCATACAAACGACCCTTGGAAGCCGTATGAGATCCGGCGGGATCCTGATGGTTTACGACGAACGTAAATTACCCATGCGTATTCTTACCTGTTGGTTACGTGGATAATCACTGATCAATATGTTTATGAAATACTTCTGTTCATTGTATTCCTTTCCAATTCGTATGAACATCACCCACTTTTATTAGCTGCGTGCATTACTTTGCTTTGAAATAGACTTGGTTACCCACTGAAGACACCGAACACGCTAAAAAAAATTTTCAAGATCCATAACTTCATGTAACCCTCGAAGGCCTCAGCATAGTGGGTGGGTGTTCAGGGTTTTGACCAGTCACTATTCCCTTGTAACCCCCGCAATGCTCCTTTGCGATCCAGCGTCTCGAATTTTCTCTACTGTGGAAGCCCTACTCCTTTCTTTCACGTGACAGATTTGTTTCCCCAAAAACTGAAGAGGACAATATCCGGGTCGGTGAACCAATGGCTGTTTATCTATAGTTGTGTTACCTAAAAACCCGGATTCTAAAGCAACCAAGAAGCGTATAAGCAACCTACATTTTTGGGTGCATTGAGCCTTTTGGACGTTCAACGTCATCTAAGGGGCCAGGTAAACTCGTCCCTAGCCTCTAGTGAACCGCGATTTCCAGTCACCGCCCCGCTGCTTTTTGAGTCAGGCTTTCTGTTGTCGGTTGTTAATCCTTCGATAAAATTCAGGTGTTTTGACATAGCAATCTGAGAGTACTTTGCACCAGTGCAAATCGTGAACCGATTTTGTTGTTGCAATGATTGCTGTACCTTGTATTTGCATGTCACACCTGGAATTATACACTTGTGAAATGTAATATAACATACAAATTCCAGTAGCACAGAAGCTGTTTGCTGATCATTGATAATCCTCGTGTGTTCTTCTATAGGAATGAAAATTTAGTGTTCTACGATTTTTGCTACCTTCTACTTTTACACCTAACCACGTGATATGGTTCGGCGTACAACTGAATCTCAAGCGATACTACCCGAACTACAAAGACAACAATCGACACCGTTGTTTACAAAAGTGTCATATATATATAATAGATAGATAGATAGATAGATAGATAGATAGATAGATAGATAGATAGATAGATAGATAGATAGATAGATAGATAGATAGATAGATAGATAGATAGATAGATAGATAGATAGATAGATAGAAGATAGATAGATAGATAGATAGATAGATAGATAGATAGATAGATAGATAGATAGATAGATAATGGATAGATCCAGTGATCGTCGTTCCTGTTTCAATTTATCACGGCTATTTCGGTATCTCTTCTTTGCAGCTTCCGTCGGAAAAACGTAGCCATCCATCACAAGGAAGTCCTTCGGTTACGAGGCGAAGGCATTTTACCGGACAAGACCACGGACAGCGTGTTGCGCAAAGCGTTGCTCGGTACAAACATCAACTATTCTAAGTCAGACCTAGGCTCATTGGACGACCGCTCAGTTGTTTCTGATGTGAGCGCTCTGGTGCACTGGCGTTGTTCACTAAGTTTTACTTTCCTAGTTCAACTAAACTATGGATATTTGTTTGTGGGTCTTGAATATAAGGTTATTTTCAACTAGGAAGTCTCTAATAATTCTACAGTTATATGGAGATATCATTATCATTATATTATTATTATTGTTATATTATCATTATATCATTATTTATATATCATTATATGGAGATATCATACCTTTTGGGTGATTACAAAAAAGTTACCACTGAGAGGGTGCTTAACTCATAACTTACCTAGTCTCCTATGGTCATTAATTCACTGAGGGCAAGTGTGTCCGTGAACGAATAATCGGATTGCGATCGTCTTTTATCTCAAACCAATGAAGAACCCGTATTTCCCAGGGAACCGGTTCTTTTTACATCCTGATGTACCACTTGGCACGGAATGTATGAACCACGTAATATTTACTAGATATTGCCGAGACGGGAAAGAAGTTTTTCCAAATATGTGCCTAAGACTTATGAGCACGACATACCTTGTAGTTGACCATACCGACTCCAAATTCTGATCCACAAGGCAGTGGGGCGTAAATCAAACGCGGGAACGTGAACGAAGCACCCATCTGGTAGCTTCTAGAGAACTATCACCTTCGGGTTTCTGTTAAGTGTGTTGTTCGCTGGTGCGTTGATTATCAGTCCGCTGTTCGAGATTGGCCCTTAGCCTCATGCACCCAATGAAACAAGTGGAACGTGGACGGGACAATACCTTAATGGTTGGGGGCTGCCCAGCTTGGGCGGGCGGTAGCTGTCCAATGAAGTACGAAAACTTCTCCCTTCGTCGGGAGAAAGCCCCAGGTTTCCCTCTCCTACGTCCATCTAGCGGGCTTTTTTGGCCGGTAAAGTACCCCTCACCATGTTTATTTGCTTGAGTGACCTCTCCAGGAGCGGGTGTGGATAGAAAAAGGAAGCCAGGAGGTGCCCAAGCGGCTGGCTTTGTGAGACTGATCTGGCCTCTACCCGTTGACCTTTCAGCCATAATTGGATCTACGGCTCTGAGGAGCCATCCTGTGTAGCTAGCAGGGACATGGAGGAATGTGGCCGAGATATGATATGAAAGGGACCAGAGATTCATTCCAGACACAAGTCTTAAACGCGCGTTACTCTTGAATTGATCTATGCAATTCATTGTAATTATATCGGTCGTAATGAGGTTCCACGGTCCATGTTTTTACCCCGCTCAATCTAATCTGCTTAACAAACAAACAAAATTCACGGAAAAGATTTGGTTGTCGTTATTAATTTAACAATTCGGTGCACTCCGAGATAGATCCTCGTGTGCTACAAGCTGTCGGTTGGTTCCTGTTAAGAAGACGCTTGCTTTTCCGTTTGCATTTGTTTTGGCCACTGTGAAAATCTTTCTTGGAAGCTGGCACACTTCAATTGCTTGGGGGGTCATATCGGAACCATAAAAGGTATCTGTTTCTTGCTGCATATTGCTCATTTTGTTTTTCTTGTGCCCACAAAGTCAGCTGAGTTTACCTTAAGGAATATTCATATACAATCGTCGATTTTGTAGGGAATGCGCTAATCACAAAAACACGCGATTTATTGGTGCAATGAGAAACAATTATAACGGATGAATTATTGCATACCGTCGCCCTGTTCATCGTTACCGGTAAACCTCATAATTTCCTAGCGCTCAATAGTTTCTCTAGTTATTGCGTTCAGCTGAAATTTCGAATCAAATGAACGTGTCGATTTTATTTGCATTGTGATCACCTCATATTAGTGATTGGGAGCACGATAAGTTGATTAATCAGGCGATCAGTCGATGCGTTAGGTCCAGTATACCATTTTAGCTATGCATTTGTTGTCCGTGTTGTGCACTACTTTGATTGTCAGCATATGCCTTGTGTTGTTTTCATATGTATTTCAGGTTAGTTTGGCGAATATGGTTTTTGGAAAGCGTGTGCGCAAAATTAAACGTCCGTGTGATGAGAACGAAAAAGAGCCCGAGCTTGATCGAACTCAAATTCGCAAGGTAATTCCATCATTGATAGAAACAGCCCTCAGTCGATTTTGCGAGCTTTTGTAAAGCTCAAGGCTAATCCAACTCACACAGTCGATCCAGCTGTCATTTTATTTACACGTTTTGAATTCATTACTTTTGTACGGTCGTATCATTCATTAGTCGATCTAATGATAGCAACCCAAACCATTGCTGGTTAGTGCCAGGATGAGGATCACGAAAACTAAAACTAAAACTGCTCGCATCGTGGTTTGATCATGCCTAACGCAGTGATTCGTGATCTGCTCATCAAAAATGGAAAATTTACGTTTATTGCAATTTTTCTCAAACTGCATGTGATTCACTTCGTATCGCCGATAGTTCGCCAAGGAAAACTCTTTGATATTGTCATTCTGCATTACTATGTTTCTTAGTTTATGAATATTCACGATGCTCCAGGGGTTTTATTTACTTGCAACGGTTGTTTTCCAAATCCGTAAAAAATTCCGATTGCGTTTGCACAAGAAAATGGAAACATTTATATTCGGCATTATTTTGAAAATCTAACTAAAGTCATCACAGCTCCATTCTGATTAGATACTGAACGCTTACCGTTGTCCTAACTACACTTCATCATCATCATTGTACAGCATAAGTGGAAGTGTGTGATAGGGATAGGGATTGTGTCTGTTTTCAGTGACGGGGGACGGTCAACACGCAGAGTACACAGTTCAACTGTGCATATACCATTTTATGCCACCGCTGTCGATTTGCTGCCATGACTTTCAATGTCTCCAACCATACGGTTGTGGAGTCTTTAGGACCCGAACTCGGAAGACGAAAGGCACCTACTGTACCTAATCGCTTTGTGCATTGCTTCATACCTCGTCTCCACGTGATCTGCTAGCCTCCATGTAGCTTTCTCCACTCTGCACAGACCACTACCAATGACATGCGGTGCTGCAGGTGACAGTTAGACGTTGGCAAAACGTGTCCTAATGAACGGAGCCTATTGAGCTAAATTGGATGCAATAGCGTTAAAGAGCTCACTATCGCACCCGGACCCGAGCGCTGTTCATGTTTGTTCTTGCCCACATTTGCCAGTTGACGACATCAAAAATAGAAATAACAAAAAAGGCTGTAGAAAAATTTATGGCATCAGCAAATAACTTTTTCTGTTGAATTGCTGCTAGAACAGGTATATTTTCTTTGCAGCCGTTAGTCGCTTGGTTTGTTATTGCATGAATTGTATTTCCGACATAATGTTGACAGTTTCAGTTAGCTTTTCTGTCAACCTGGGAAAGCCTCACTTGTTGTATCTGCTGCGTGGATTTGGCCACTCCTATTTTCTGTCTTATGACCATTTCTCCTCAAGAACGAAAGCCTATTTCGATACCGGCATTTCAACAAAACCAGATTTAATTTTAGATGGTTGGATCATCTACGCTAACGCGCGAACAGTTAAGTTAATTGAAAATCTACGCTGACTATTCGTCATATACTGTAACTGCCGTGTGCGTATACCTCTGTGGGTTGGATAGAAAATTAAAGGTAAAGAAAAATCACGGTCGGTGTAACACCGCATCTAATCGCATCGGTTGCAAGACGTAAACGCAATTAGGGCGAACGCCTTAAGTGGTCTCTAGAATGCAGGTATTCAACGAGCAGCTTGAGAAAATCTGTGCGATTAGGAGTATGCCGGTGATATCGGCTCTGTTCGAATGCATGGAAAATGCTCAATGCGCACTTGATAGATTAAGGGGAGTTGGCGCTTCATTCGGTATGTGTTTTACACCTTCAAAGTGCAAGTGATGCTACATGACTGGGTATCGTTTAGTTCCGCTTTGAAACTAAGTGGCCAGGAATTAGATTTAGTGGATTACTGTTCCTACTTAGTTGTATTGTCATTGACAGTAGTGGGGTAAAGGAGAAAAAACGCCCGCATTTTCAAGGCTCGAGCAGCGTACACAGAACTGAACCACATGTGGCGTAGGTGCGACGTTTCACGGAAGTGGTAGGGTCGTTTATATTGTGCTACCGTTCGTTGAGTTTTGCCTCATGGTTGTGAGACCCTGAGTTCCCTAGTAGAAGATATCCGTCTGCTAGAGGTTTTCGATTACTTGTGTTTACGTAATCTACCCACGTGGGATGGAACGAACGGGTTAGTAATATGGAAGTAAACCGTCGAGTACTTTGAAGTTTATTGGGGATAAATTTGCTATTGCTTCGCTGACTGGGACATGTATTATGCATGTTTAGTTGTCGTCTGCCGCACCGCTCTTTATTCGCTGTAACCGCTTCGGACTGGAGGTCAGCAGGTGAGGGGGAGACGAGCCATGAAGAAGCTATTAGATTGAGTAAGTGCCTTCTATTCCTATGCTATTCTGTGCTATTCCCGTTCAACGTTTGGATTACACGATTTATCCTTGTACAGACACCAGAGAAGCGCCAAAAGCTTACCGGTCAGCACTCAAATCGAAGAACATTGAGGCGTTCTGCTTTAGGTGCTTTTTCACGACATCCTCGAACCCGCGTTATTTCGGGATCCGAAGAAGAAGAGGAAGAAGGATTGACTCAACCAATGTCAATCGACGCTGTTGGTGAGCGCACACAGACCAGAGGTATGCTCCTTTCGCCACTGCTGGAAACATTTTTCATCTTTGTCACGTTACGCATGAATCTTGACACCTTTGTTTGGATGATCCTCTTAGGCAAAAATGCCACTAGTATGGAGCCGATTTTCTTCCAGATTACGCTGTCCCACGTTCTAAACTTTTTTCTCTGATGTGCTGTACTGTGATCTATTTTGATGGCATTGGAGCAGTATCGGTTGATATCCGAATGCCAAAACCCAAGCCGAAGTATGTCAGGGACTGACTTCTAGAAGCATCGATTCTGTCTACGGCTGCACTTAATAACTCTGTGTCTGTGTGGGAGTTGAGCGCATTTAAGTGATTCATTTTTTTATAATGCTTGGTAGTTTCTAATGTGTTTACGTTTTCCGCGTAGCAATCGTGTAGTCCGATGGCACAAATTTTTGGCGCTATTAGTTTAGAATAAAATAGGTTTCTCAAGGTCTGAACAACATTGAAGAATACGGGGATTCAAGGGCCTGGTTCTTGTGTGTAGTTGGAGACCAACTGGTTAGCATGTGATCTATTGTAATTTCACTACGTGTCAAAGACCGCTGAAAATCCTGGAGAGCCTTCAATACTGGGGCGTTGGTAATTCGTCGTGTATCAGTTACGCCAGTCGTCGTCTGAGATCAGAGACGAGTTGGTACCATGCCATGTTGTGCGAACCCGATACCAATCTGTGGATTTGATTTGACTAGCCTGGTGGCAGAGTGTAGCACTCAGTCCGGCACGTCAGTTTTTTGAGTCTTCTCTGATGCACAGCGGATATGCACTTTTGGTGTTTACACGCGCGCATGCAAACACACACGACTGTTAAAACAGCGCTTCCAGTGCTTGCCAGAAGCACATGTGACAGGTTGACATTGTGCCATGAATTTCTAACCTTCCGATTGACTATTTGGTTCTTCATTGCTCTTATTTCGTCAATCGATTTCAGAACAGCTGTTTTTTGCATAGGTAGTACTCGTGTTACGGTTTGGTTTCCACTTTTGGTCACTTTTGTTATCATAGCAAATACAGATTCATTGGTTCATGAGTTTTTCTGTTCGTACCTGATACATTGAAGTTGTATTTAACTCGTAGATGGTTTTAGTCGTATACGGAACAAAGTAAGCATGAAGTGAAACACTAAGAAGCACGGCCTAACTGCTCCGATTCTTTTTTGTCATATCAGGAGCATGAATCCGTCGACCCGCCTAAGTATCGCGTTCGAAACCCCACAAATTGGAAGTGCATCCGGTTCTCTAGAATGTTTATCGAAGGTGCACTACTGCACCAAACCAGTTACCACAGTCATTCCTTGCCCTTGCATTAACTTCGTGACGATGCAGAATTCTCCTATAAGCACGCTCGCAGTGATTTGTATCAAAAAATCGAAAATTGATTCCACTTTTTTTCAAAACTGAATCAGGTATGAATGCGATTGATAAAAGTGTATGATCGAAAAATTGATTTGAGGTACATTCTCACAAAGAGATTAATAAATAGAATATTAAAATAGTAACAGAGGAGATCAATTTGTCTTTCAGTTAACAACAATAGATTATCAGCAATACCCAGACATGCGTTTTTGATTCATTGCACAAAAGCGGTTGCTAGTGTTACTTTCATATATAATCCTATCATGTGTCCTACCGAGTATCCAAAATGCGGTTAAGTTCGAAAAACCGACAGTGAAATGAAAAGTGGAATAACGCGTGTGGATCCAAATATGCTGAGGTGGTATTCATACAGGACTGTCGTTTCTCACGTGTTCCCTCATCTGTCAAAATATGCGAACTTGCAGGAAGCATGTTCAGATCTGAACATACCTATTCTGTAGAAATTATTCATCCCAAGATCTAGTTGTTAGACATACCTATTAGTTTTTCATCTGGGTCCCGTCATTTTATCTGAGCCGCCAAATCGTCGATTTTGACGACCAAAAAGCTATTTATGCAATTGAATCTCATGAAAGATTTTTCAGTGGGACTGCACTGAATGCTCCAGAGGATTTATTTCGAAAATTAAACTTTGCCTGAGCATAGCAAAAGTTTAAATAAAACACGGAGAAATAAGGCCAGTGTTTTTCGAATGACTGAAGCGTTTGCATCCCGCATCACAATACGCTACTTCGATTAAGTCAAAATTACATGATAGGATATTTTACTCTCGTGAATGAAGTTTCTTAGTCAGATACAAAATGTTTCCAACGGCGTCGTAACCTCGAAGGCTAGTACTGAGATGGGCGAGGTGTGACGCCCGCAAGCAGCTTGTAAAGACGGGCTGTGATCTGCTGTGAATGTTCAAGAAACCATCTGTTCAGCTTCCCTGTGGCCGAGTGAGTAGTATGCTTGCATTCTACCTTTGAGTTCCCGGGTTCGATCCTCATTTAGTTCGATGGATTCATACTGCGGATGAGACCGTATACGGTCGAAACAGCTGTCTAGTGCTCTGTGCACAACCAAATTCATCGTGAAACCATTTATGAGTTATCAGACGAAAAACGATTATCATTAGATATTTTTAAATTATGCTAAGTGAAAAACTGGCAAGCAAAGACGTTAAGTACTACTGTTTTCAAATAAACACGAATACAGAGTAGATGTTGTTTCTGTTTGTTACCGGCGTCCTCGTTTTCTACTACATCACCAAGACTCTACATGAACTCTCGTACTTGCTACTTGGCTGACCCAGGAAGCGGGGGAAGGGAAACTTAACGCAAGGTAAACAATCGATGTATGTCATGGGGACTACGGTGTGTGATCAAAGTACGTCGCACAATCGTCACTTCCGCGTTTCAGCAGTGGCTTAGGTTGTCATCCAGACATCTGGGAGGCTTGAAAAGTGCACGAGCCTGGTAGCTCCGATGCGGTTAGTGAGACGGCTGGAAATGACGCTCAGTCAACTTGAAATGATATGCACACGTTTTGAACGTTTTGCGCAACTTGATTTGCAAAAAGCATGATCAACTGTCCTGATAACTTTTCGTGCGTTGTTTTGATTATTATCGTTATACTAACCTTAAGTTGAATAAGTCCTGTGAACTGCTTAACCGGTTCTCCCTTCATCACCCTGGCTTTTTCACTATCCATAATAATCTCCCATTAGCACTTATGCCCACTGTATTATTTTAGCTCAACTGATAAATTATAGTTGGCTTAGCTACATAAAACACACCCTTCGTCCATCTCGAGGTATCAAAAGACGAGTTTGTTACATAGAAAACCTGTCAGTACTCAAACAGATGATTCATTTCACAGATTGTTATTTTATGTTCTGATTCCTCCAGTTCTTCCGAACTTGAGTGTCTCTCTGTTCATCTCAAATGTTGGTATGATCTTTGCCCTCCTGTAGACACGTATTGCGTTTTTGTCGTTCGGCTTGCAACTTCATGTCGGCGCCGGAAAGAACTGGCTTGTGTGACCGGAAGATGAGATTTGATTAAAACTCCATCTTTGCATATTGGGAATAAGATTCGTTTTCTGTTAGTTATATATGAATACCAGTCTTAATGGCAAGAGGTGTTTAGAGACAGAGTTGCCCTTGAAGCAGCTCTGAGGTACTCGGACAAACAGCCATCCGCAAATTCTAGATCTTAAAAGTCTATCTACTGTTTTCTCTGAGGGAAATGTCTGTCCTCCTTATTGCCGTGTTCTGATTACTTGCTGTACTGCCGCCGGCTTCTTGGATAAGATAAGCTGCCTCCAGACATGATCGTGGTCATCGAGTTCCTTGGAGGTTTGGTACGAGAGAAGTCCCCAGCGTCACTCGGTGTTTTATTGTTTTGAGGGCGCATCTCTAGCCTTTGCACAATCAAGTGCGAACAGCAAGGCAGCAGGAAGTAAGCTCGCGCCTCGGAAGTCACGGGATCAACGACTTTAGTTTTAAAAGACCAGTTACATCGACTTTTTCACGGCACCCTCATTGGGCTTATGCTGCTTTTAAACAAGAGCCAGGTGACCAACCTGAAACTCACCACGCCCTGGTAGTACCACCGCTGTTGGTCCACGACTGCTTATTTGTTACGATACGCCACAACGGATTCACAGTTAACCCTCTGCGGTAAAGGTGTTCCCCTATCCACAAGCCAGGGACTCGCCTGGTAGCATTCAGCTCTGCTTAACCCGAGGTTTCTAATGGTATACACTTCATCAATTCTACGGAGGTCCTCAAGGTTCTTAAGAGCCTAAAATTCAATGTGGTTTGTAGTCCCGATCTATTGGCACCTTAACTACTGCAAACTTGTGCTGAGAAACTTTATGAACCCATTATCGATTTGTCTCATTTGTTCCTCTTCACCGGAGTGATCTCTCAAATCTAGAACTCTCTCAAGGTAACCCGTTCTCAGAAAAAAAATTCCTGCCTTGTCAATAAATAAGTAGATACTAAATGTCTTTTTACTTCCTTTTTTATTTATTAAATATACAAATACACAATCAACATTCAGGAAGGGGGGCTGCGACCATACAAAGGCTGCCTGGGAAGACGGGCGGTGGTGGAGCTGTTCAAACCCGGGACTCCCAGGTCACAAGTTGGTGACCTAACCACTTGGTCACCGCCGCACCTCAGTTACTGGAGGTCTTGGAGAGTGTAGTACTCAAACGAACGTCAACAATGATAGGTCAAAGTGAGCGTTTCCGCTTTCTGTATAAATCTTCTCTATAAACAGAACGCAAAAACTACCATAAAAAACTTACAACCCCTCGTAGTAATATGTTATTAGCGTCATTGCTGAGCCGTGCACAATCACAGTGAGCCAACCAAGACTATCTGCTCCGAACATGTCCGTGACACGGTAAATGCTCTTTCGTCTTTCAAATCACTGTTGCATAACTCAGTGATAAACTTCGGGGATTTAGTGATACGCGCTAATTCAATCACTCAATTTAATCCTCTTCACAATTTCGAGGATGATAAATTCCTCATCTGTAGAGCTGATCACAACGCCAAGACCACACAACGATCCCGTTGCCTGTGGAAACACACGACAGGCCATGACTACGTGTCGATCGATAATCTAGCTAATTTGCATTCCTACTCCTGGCATGTACAAACAAAGACACTCGCTGGGCTTTTGAACAAGGCTTGTTCTGCATCTTGGGTCCCGCGATCTACTGGACGTTACTAACATGCTTGGCTTAGTGTTTCCAAGCGGCAGTTCGTTTGCTGTCCGGTTCGTGTAGTGTAATTTATTGCGTCCCCCAAAATTTCGAGAGTGATTTTTCTCATGGCGCTCTGTACAATTCCGCCGGGTTGAGGTTAGGCTTCAAACCATTCGTTCGTGCCTCATTCTGTTTACGAACGCGCCATCATAAAAGCACACCTTGTCTGACGAGCCTCTTGCTAGGTCAGTCGCATCAAATGTACTTTTGAGACGGTTGAAAAACGCAGTTCCCCTGTTAGCGCGTTGTTCACGGTTGATAAGTGTGTCTAATCGTCGAAACAAGTGCTGAGATCAATCTGAATTAGATCAAAATGTTTGTCAACCCGCTTAAGTGCAAATCACAGCTAACTCAAAGTGCAGGATTCCTGCCTCGATCGTTTTTCGCGACTTCTTCAATCCATGTAGTGTATAGTATCACCCGGACGTTCTTTCGGCCTTGGTACCTTGGACGTCAATTACGCCTCAGTAGTTGCGAAGCGGCCACTTTGACTACTTCCAGCCTGGACCGTCCTCTCTTTGTTTTTGTGGTTGCTAGCTAGAACAGCGGTCTCAGTTCTAATAACGTTCTAAATTCTCATGTGCTAGATAGACAACTCAACCATACCTACTATGAATTGGTTTTTCTAAGATGTTTTTTACTGATCGACCGTAGGCGTTACCACACAGACCATGGATATTGATCAAATTCATCGGGTGTTATACATGGCCTAGTTATTTTGGGTTACCAAAATAGCCAGAGAGACTCCACCGGGTTGGATACGCCCCACTCACGGTCAAATAGTGCATGGCGGATGATTGACGGATCGCTTTCGAGTAAATAAGTCACTTCTCTCGATTCACTGAAGACAGTTGAAGTAGCGTAACAGATGTATCGCCCATACAATTGTCATTTAGGAAATGGATACCAAAGATGACAGGTAAAATCAGAATTGTGAATAATATCCTCTGTACATTTATCCGATACGTTCAAAATGAGTTTTGATAGTGATAAACCATCAACTGCCGCATTCGAACGACGATAATAATTGTCGTCGCAGTGTCCCTTTAGCAATAAGCGCATAGGTTAAGAAAAATTAACTACGCTTCGGAAGAAATTCCTCTGGGAAGGAGCAATGTTCGGATTGAAAGCAATGTGCGTTAACCGGGGTGCACATAATTACTGACGTCTTAAAGCGATACAGTGTGCAATCAGTTGATGCATACCATATGGCCAGTTTCTGTCAACACCGGTAGAATTGTCACCGCTTCTACGCATCACAAGATCGTCATCATTGTAGCGCGAATTTCACTGATCACTGTCAAGCTCACAATTTATACAAAATTGGTAAGGTTATGTGGTTTGGACAGTGTTTAACCTGTTTGGAGTTGGGGTACGGCGTCAAACCACAGAGTACGCAACCTAGCTGTGTAAACACATTTTTTCCAGCACCCTAGTCTGATAAGAAGTGATAAGAGGGCCTGTGCTGTCAGTTATTTGTTATATGCTTGGATGTTTGAAAATGCGTGCGATTATCTCCTTTACCACAATACCTTTGTTGGTCCCGAAATTACCTATATATTCAAAACAGTTAAATTCAGTCACTTCCTGACCCTCAAATTTCCAAACAGAACTAGTCAGTACCCAGATCTGGAGCATCATTTTGCACTTCAAAGGTGCAAAGGGCCTGGCGATCGGCAGATGTTTGTCTGTCAGGTGCACTTAGCGCGTCATTCATACATTCGAACAGAGACTGTCATTAACGTCGCTCAGTTTGTCTCCAACTGCTCATTCAGTACCAACATTTTGGAAACCACTTGTTGCCTCCTCCGGTATTTCATCTATGGCGAAACTCAGCGAAATAAGGCACCTCTGAAGAACACCGCTGTTGGTTTCGATCCATCTGCTTAGCTCGCCTTCGATCTCCGTTCTTGCCACTGCCGCGCCTTCAGTAAACTAACATACTTCTGGGGCATCCGTATTCGAATAGGCGAACTATGTGGTGAGGTGAAGAGGTGAAGATTCCTTTCTAGGTCAAGACCAATGGCGGTCGTTCGTCAAAACTTTTCTTTCCAAATGAATAATTCAGAGTTTTAATCAAAATTCCGAGTGGTTAGCAATTTCATTTTACCCATCAACGTCTCATATAAGCTGCATTTTATTAGGTCTGTGCATGTTTCGTGTACTTCGGGGTTTCAATCCAGGTTTCCGTATTCAGTGGATTTTCGTTCTTCGGAAATTAATTTTTCCCACAGTTTTAGTCTTTTCTTATTGCACAAGTTAGCGTGATGAAGAAGACGGGGTAAACCCCATAGTCACGAGAACCTGCTGTTCATTGATCGAAACCTAAGCCCCGTGACTTGGAGTGATGAACCACATAAAGCCCCGATAGGCGTGATATTGAAGCGGACGACAGCAAAGCTGTCTACCACCACAGTTAGGTGGCAGTGGCTGAGCTCAAATCTCGGACCACAGGGTTTAGTGAAGGCGACTAAACCACCGCGGTTTGATTCGCTTTTTGTGTGTATTTTCAGCAGTACCTCTTACTTTTGTAGTTTTGTTCGTGAGCCAGTCACAGGGCCAATGCAAATAGCTTGTGCTCTTAGGTCACAGTTTCGTATGAGTTTTTGTCACCTAAATCAGGTGGTTACTGTTGCCATACCCATTTTTGAAATTCCATATTCTGTCTCAACGTGAATGCATGGCACCATCGGTAATTTTAATCCAGGGTTTCTTCCGGATGTAACTCAGTTGAAAAAATCGATATATTGATTTCATGTCAATTGGTATATTATAGTTGTCGAGTATGGTTCAAGTGTTTCGACCTCATTTCACTCTCCATTGCTGTGCTTCTCTGTTGAATTGGCGTCGCCTCGCTAGTTTCATGATGAAAGGTTATATATATATGCAAACGAAAACTCATGAACCGGACGAAAACGTCATTCGCAAATAAAATTCAATAATCAATGAATGCACTCAAAAATATACAGTTTTGTTTTCCAACCATAAAGGCAGCGAGGTTTGCCTTACTGTGCTCAACTTCACGCTCAGGAAGGCAAATGGTTGGAGCTCATCTCTGATAGTGAAACCGATTTCAAAAATCATCTCTTCACCGTATCATCAGTTTGTACAACCATTAACTTTGCACTTTGGTGCGCTGGTTTTGGTTGCTGTCTTTTGGTCGCCCGTTTGGATAAAAGAGCAGAAGGAAGATTGAAATGAATACATTGGATATGACCAATATTGATCGACGCTGATGCCAACCTAGTAAGTCATCATCTACGTGGTTCTTGAAGTGGAATCGCATCGCTCACCCGACCATGGTCACAGTGTCGGTATCCTAGCTACTATCCTGTAACTACTACCATAACTCGCCTAAACGTAACTCCAGAGTTCAGTGGACGTTTACCTCCTCAATGAAATTCAGAGACTCCTCCTTCCCCCTCCGCTTTGTATAAATCATCTTGTACGTCTGTATCGGACTTATGTGCGTGATACCCTGGAGGCATCCATTTTTCTATCAAAGACCACTCCGAATACGTGGAATCTGCGATCATCTTAATGGAACTGGAAGTCATCGTCAGCCGTCGTATGCTCGAAAAATCTCTGAACAAGAGTACTCCATAAATCATTCATCTAAAAGCTTTCACCACAAACAATCAGGGGATGGTCATATCCCGTTTCGCACTTGTGGCCGACGAGCAGTTGATGCCATGGGAAAGCCCGACAGGGAAGATAAATATGAAATCAATTTTTAGATGTTAGTGGACAGCGAGACAATGTAGGTAGAGAACTTACTTCTATACCTCAGTTTCAGTTGAGTTTTACAACCATTAACCATGCACTTTCGTGCGCCGGTTTTGGTTGCCCATTTGGCAACTTGTAAATGGGAACCGAGAAATAGATGACCGTTGGCAGTTGACGTGGTCCCATAAATTTTGGGGGGATCGGTCCACAAAACGTAGAACATTACAATAGATATTATTTTCACAATCCCGAGATTACGACATGTATTCTGAGAAGGAGGAATGATTACTGTGGTGACCCGTACAAAGCAAATAAACGGATCTTCCGTCAGAGAAGAAAGAAAAATCAAGAGAACATGACAGTAGTGCGCTTTATTGAATCTGTCTCAAAAACAGCTGTAAGAAAACCGTAAACCAGTTTTGTTCTACTTTCTATTGAAAAGGAGCTGACCGGTTCATAATGGTCATCCCTTTATACAAATGTGTAATACTTTGTCTTAGCTTATTGTTTCGGACCATTATCCGTCGTTCCTCGTAGTTGTTGCCAAACGGCTTTCGTAATGCGCGACTGTCGGTACATAGCAAAATATAATCAATCCATTTTATTTATTTATTTCTCAAGATTGCCTGCGCTATCTACCCGTGTCCCAGAGTCGCGGACCTCGGGATTCAGCTAACTACTATCTTCGACGTACTCTTTCCCGTTCACTAAACCTTCCTATTCCAAGTTGTTCCCTGTTCCGGGGCTGGACGATCATTTTCACCGGGCGATTCCCGCATGTCTTCACCTCACCGGCTGGTTCTGGTAAGCTCGTTTTCATTGTATGATACATATTTATAATACCGGCTTTGTGCGAATACGAAAACGATGGAAATAGAAAGGGGGGATTTTCATACAAATGAGGAAAATCGACAAAGACAGATTAGAAATGGCTTTGATAAATCTTTGCTGAATTGATGTGCATAATTTAAATTTTTATGAATAAGGTAGCGGCCAATTAATGGGCCACCGGACGACAAGAAAACGGGAAACTGAACCCCTTGATCAATAAGATGATGACAGTATCTACCGTTAACCGTCCATTTACATTACTCCTGACCCGTTTAGCACTTATTGTTTTCAAGGCATCAATGCAAACCTAGAGCCTCACGGAGTAAACCTTCTACTTTCGCTAAACTCATCGCGACGTCGTTCTTCAGTGTCACGTTATTGTAATCTTGCTATGGTTCCCTGGTCAAAGGCCTTATTATCATTAGAAAATTATGATAAATCTCTTTAATTCAAAAACTGAATTCGATTCTGTTAATATATTATCCGTTTACGAAGGGACTGATAAGGCTGAGGCCCCAAAACGTATTTACTTACATCTTTGTTCGTTTAATACTTTAATATTGTTATTCCATCAAACTTGGGAATACATACTTTATCCATCGTTGCAACATCCTACCAGATTTGATCTCTAAATCGATTATGGCTGCGCTCGATAGTTGTTTTTTCTCCAGCGAAACGGTATGATTTACACTCCGCAACAAAATTAGTGCCCCTACTGTCAGATTTTTTTGGGTTTCTCCGCATGCACGATGACCATATTTTGAGAATCTAGGCAGCATCCAACTGGAAAGTCAAAATGTCATCAATTTATCTTTTATTTCGTAGGAAATATATATGGAAAAATAAACAGAATTGTCATCGCGACAAAAGTATCGCACCCCGTTCCCCGTCGAACTTGCTCGTTGCAGTCAGTTTAGCCGTCCCGCCTCAAAACTTCTACACACCCTCTGTCTACACTCTAAGAGATTCCCAATCTTCTCCGAGTCGGTATTCGTCCACTCCATAAGATGCTTCTGATTAGTGCTTTGTGGTGTAAACTCTGCAGTGTCGGTGCACCTTTCGAATAAGAATAGTTGGGTGGTTTTCTATTGGGTTAAAATCTGGCCTGCACGCAGACCACACCACCGTTTTGATATCGTGAAATAGTAATCAGCATTTTTTTAAATTCGCGTTATGAACTGCTGCGTTGTCCTGCTGTAACATTACTTCAGGATGTCCATTCATCAAGGAGTGCGTTTTGTCATTCGTACCGAAACTCCCAAACCAAACACGGTTTTCGTCTCCAACGCATGACCCACGGAATTTGAAGCCATTACTTTTCACAAAATATTTCGTGGCGTTTAATCCGTTTATGATTGCTTTTTTTAGCTGTTTTCGCTCCAGATGTCGTGCTTCAGTGGATCTAGACCTAATAAACTTTCTGGATATCTCATGTGCACACGCATTTATCTCAAAAGGTACTAGTTCTGGATTTCTCGTTTTCAGTAAGCCTCTTCCAACGAGACATTGTTGACAATGTCTTGGGGTGGCCTACTTCCTTGTACTCGTTCTATCAAGGTCATTGGGAGTGACGCATGCATATCTCCACAAGTTGTCACATGCCGTAGCTGAAGCCATTCTGTCGACCCCACACACATCCGGGTCAATAGTTGCCATGCCGAAGTATAAAATAGGGTATACTAGCGTATCCGGTTTTCAAAGTCAATGGGCTATTCCTATCCGAAAGGTGTACCAACACTCCAGAGTTTACACCACAAAGCAACAGTCAGAAGCATCTTGTGGAGTGGAGGAACACCAACATGGAGAAGATTGGAAATCTCGTAGCGAGCATAGACAGATACCGACTGGGTACCCTCGGGTTAAGCAGAGCTGACTGCTGCCAGGTGCGTCCCCGGCTTGTGGATAGGGGAACATCTTCACCGAGGAACGTTAACTGCGAATCCGTTGTGGCACACCGCAACAAATAAACAGTCGTGAACAAACAGCGGTGGCACTACCAAGGTGCTACCTTTCGCTTAAATCTGTTCTCAACATTCTAACTATCATTCTGCAATTTTATCCAAATGGGCAACCAAAACCGACGCACGAAAGTGCATGCTTAACTAAACTGAACTGAACCAGGGTGTGGTTAGTTTCAGGTTGGTCATCTGGCTCCTGTTTAAAAGCCGCATAAGCTTAATGACGGTGTCGTGACAAAGGTCGATGTAACTGGCCTTTTAAAACCAAAGTCGTTGATCCCGTGACTTCCGAGGCGCGAGCTTACTTCCTGCTGCCTTGCAGTTCGCACTTGGTTGTTCAAAGACCATACGTGCGTTCTCAAAATAAAAAGAAACATCTGGTGACTCTGGGGACATCTCTCGTACCAAACCTCCAAGGAACTCGATGACCATGACCATCATCATGTCTGGAGCCGGGTTATCCTCTCCAAGGAGCCAGCCAGTAAATTACAGTCAGTATAAACAGGTGTGTAAAAGTTCTGAGGCGGGACGACCAACGCATCCAGTAGTAAATTGACTGCAATGAACAAGTTTCACGGGGTGGGGTGCAATATTGTTGTCACGATGATAATTCGGTTAATTTTTCTATATATCTTCTTTGAAATAAAAGATAATCTGATGAAATTTTATGATGTACGTGTTACTTATATTTGCTCTCTCAATACTGCACTTCATATGTTCCAGCTTTTTATCTCTCATGTAATCAAGCACCTGGCGATCGTGAAACGCTTAAAAAACTTGTACTGGCTACCGGAGGTCAGGTGTCCACATCTGACCTGAAATGCAAAGAAAATCAATCGGACTTATTTATCAATTATCAGAAGAATCGCGTGGCACTTGTTGCTTCGGGACCATGTCGAACAATGCGGTATTTTCAAGCCTTGGCAACCCTTGGCCGCGTGCCTCTTCTGCGGACCAAGTGGATTGTTGATGCGGTTCGTTATGAAGCCTCGGAGTCACAGAACGTTAATGACGACAATAATCCCTCAGAGAAGTGCACAAACTGGCCTCTTCGACTGTTACTTGATCACCCTGGTCGCTACGAATTATCTCGAGGCATGCTCACCACATCTGGAGAGTGGATCGAATGGTAAGATCCGAATGAGGTCGCCATGGTGATTATGCTTTGAGAATTCATTTTCCAACAAACTTCGAAATCCATGAAACCTCGGTAGAGCCGCTCAACATCCGAGTATCTAGTTTTCTATTCAATCCGAAACATTGATTGTCTGACGTATGTTGCTTGGTGCTGTTTTCATCTGAGATCCTTTCGCTTTAACGCTGATGGTATACCAGTTACAAAGGTAACGTTAGGAGCAAAATAGCATTAGTTCCATTTCGAAAGACAGGGGTGGCTTGAACGGGCAGAGATCGCACAGTTGCGTTAACGCTCACCGTCAAACGGGAGCAGCTAAATCATGACCGCCCATAAAACCGCTCATAAAACACTAACTGTTCTCCTCCGATCCTATGAGAAGAACCAAGTTTCTGTGTGAATGGACTTCCATGGTAAAGTTTATAACCTATTATGTCCCCGACCACACCGAGGCTTTTGGAGGGGTAAGGAAGGTGACGGTTTGATTAAATTCTATTGGGTCTTCTGGACTGTCCGATCGATATCCGAGGAGTGATGAGTATCGTTTGTTGGTAACTCACTGATGTATTGAGGAATCTAAACTGTTCTGCCCGTTGGTTGTGCCACCTCCACGATCAGTGTAAAGTATCAAAAATGCGTACGACATAAAGCAACGATAAGCAATGCCCACAGTCGCAACATTTCGTTCCCTTCGTCACATTACCTCCAATGTCCGTTCTGCTTTCCACAATATTGTTTCGCTGCTGACTCGACAGCGGACAGGTTTTGTTTCTTTCACTAAAAGCAATCTCTCACGAATACTTCTCTTTTTGAAGGTCTGTATGTAGCACTGTGGATGCTATGTTTTACTTTGCTCGTAGGTGGTATCAGTATGTGTACTTTGTATTGGTTGTGCGCATGCGCTTCTGAGACGATCGGAAAATCCAAACGAGCTCGTTTCTTAGCTTTCATTTATTTTCTCTGTCGGCTCAAGTTGGTATCTTTTTTCCTTAAGGGATTTAGGTGTGAAGAAATTCCAAAAACAATCGGCCGCGTTGTTCAGATAGTAGCGTTACCCTAGGGACTCGCCCCATTCGCATATCTGCGTCGAATAGTCGTCGCCTTTCAAACAATCCCCATTAATATTGACTTAACTTGCCGAGCCATCATTCCTGTACATCTAACCGAATCCAATGGGAAATTAAACTCGGGATCTCACGGATTCTGCGTTACACGGCAAAAGTATACTGTGAACGCAGGTCAAGCGAGGTTTTGTAGGTGTGTGGAGGAAACCGCCGTCGCAACGGTACCCGAGGACAATCGATTCTTCGAAGCAAACCACTCAAATAGACGGCAATTACTATGGCAC